TAAAATTAATTAAGATTGTAAAGGTATGGCCTCATCTCTAATATACTTAATTGTACCAGAGCTATCTACATATCGGACATTCATTAGTACATTTTCAAATATCTGGTTGTGAAAGCAGTGTATAACATTAATTCTATCATCAGATGGCCAATGAACATCCTCATGAGTTGCATAACGATCTTCACACGTAAAATGTACTATCCAAATATCGTCCGCAGATAATTTTTCAGCATACTCAAGCACCCTTTTAAAGTGTTCATTGAGGTCTCTTCTTGTTGCAGTAGCTAAAAGTTCGAGAACAATTCTTTGATATTTCGCTGTAATTACTATATCACTATATGTGTCAATATATTTATCTCCGTTGGCATGATGTTCTACCATATGCCACTGTCCAGTGACCTCCAAGCCATTATTTCTGACGAGCCAGTTAACTAGGACCCTATTTAGCTCTGAGTCGTAAACTCTTTCTTGGGGAACACGTTTCTTTTTTTCACTATCTACACGCAACTCACCTGAACTTTTAAATGACCTAATGAATCCATTAGAAATCATGCCCTTATCAAAAAACTGTATGGCCGTCTGCAAAATCTTGAGAGTATCCGGAAAGTCATTTTTTTTTAGGGGAATTGCACATGTCGGGGCGGACTTGTATAAAACAGGAATAACTTGTTGCCGAATCAGATCATCTGTAAAAATAGATGACATTCTAAAATTATTCTTTTTCATTTCATCCCTCATTAGCACCCCCTCAGCTGTCAAGAATTCTGCTAGTCTTTTTTCTTCAGGGTCATTGATTGGCACAAAATCGAAAAATCCTAGGAAAACAGATCGAAGAAGTTCTATAGCAGGCCTGGTTTCTTTCTTTTTAAGTGTAGTAACCATCTTTCTGAAGGTGCTATAATCAAATATCGTATCTTGCATATAACTGATAACAAAGTTTAACCAGGTTGAGAAGCCAAGCCTTCTGTTTTCATCGAGTTTTGGCATTAAATATGAATGGATAGCTTTTCCGCAAAGGCAGACAAGAGAAGCATGCCTGTCAAATAACCGAATCATAAAAATAAGTTTCAGATTTTGATTTCACGCAACTTTCCAATCAGCTTCACATACCCATTTGTCCGATTGTAGATATCCTCAATGATCTCCGGATCAATGGTCAAATTGAAGTCATCCTCAAACTCCTTATATACGGTCTGCACTTGTTCCAGCGTGAAATTTGGGTTTCTAAATGGACCCTTAATGTTGAATGGAGACGCGGTTATTCTGTCTGAACTCAGATGTAAAATACTAAAGGGACCGATGGCTACCGAAGATAAGAGAGCATAATTTTCCTTTGTGTTTTTAATGGCACGAATTACTCCAAGGAATGAGGATTTAATTTCATCATGTGCTCCAAGCAATGCATCGATCTCATCAATGAAGAGAACAACATGTTTATCATTCCATTGTGCTTTCCGAAATTTTCGCAAAAAATCATCAGAAGATTTGACATCACCATTTCCGAAGTATTTGGGTGAATTAATGTTAAGTGCGGTACCCATTGACAACCAGAATCTGTCTTTAGTTTCCAAGTTAAAATGCTCAAAAGTTACACTGTTTCGAAGAAAAAAACAACAGTTATACTGAATGCAACGTGATCAGAAAGTCAGAACTAACTAAATAGAACTTAGAACTTACTAAATGCAAACAATGCCTTGGCTTTTCAACTTTTCCATAGCTTGAAACACCCGTGTAGATTTTCCGGAGGCCCTTGCACCATATAAAGTCACAAATTCTCCACTCAGAATCTTATCAAGAAATGGAACGTTCGTCTCTTCTAGATCAACAAAATATACATCATTACGAACTTTATTCTGAATAGCACTATTAACCGTCCATTTTCTTGGATCTTTAGGCACGTCGTAATTACGATCTTGATGTAATAATACCGATATTTATGTAATTCTTCTAATTTGTTTCTCAAAAATTTATTTTGCTGGCTTATATCGTCATTTTTCTGTCTTAAATCCTTAATTACTTGATTTATTTCCTGGAATAAATCCTTCCAAGACTTTAGAGTTCTTGAAAGTGGCAAATAAGGTCTCGGTGATTGAAGGCGTTGAACTCGAGGAGCAACGAAGTGCGAAAGACCTGAGTAATTTTTGATGACATTTTTGTCTTTTATTTAATCGATCTAATCTTGATCGATGATTGATTAGTTTGATCAATTAATCGATCACAATACTTACGATTCGATCAGACTTGATTGATTAAAATATATAATTTAATTAATCAATTAAAATTGATCGATCAATACAGTATAAACTAGGAAATGGGAACCATTTAAAGTCCGGAGCACAGATTTGTATATTGTGTTATAATTGATTGATAAGTTTACTTCATATATACATATTTTATTGTTTTATTGATATATTTTTACAATAAATTTAACTTCTGTAATTAAAGTCATTGTTCTATAGTTTATTTCATAATATATATATATTTTCATTGTTTTATAGCTTATTTTATTAAGTATATTTACTATTCTTTCTGTTCTATTTTATATATATAATAAAGTTATTGTTTTACAGTTTGTTTTATTGATTGGTATATTTTTTAAATTAGTGTTCTATTCTATTTTATATATAAGTAATAAAGTCTCGGCAGTATAATAAAAAAATGTGTAACCATTTATAAATAAATATGTTATTGAACAAACGAATAATGCTCACGTGTAATAAGCCACATACAAGCCACAAAAATGAGAATAACGAAAACGCTTTAACTTCACAGGATCGTATAACTATTAATCGATAAATGGATGATAAAATTGTTAGTCATAATACCATTCGAAAGCGTAAATCAAGAGAAAATGAGACGTCTGAGCATCATGAGGGACTCATTGCAAAGCAACGTGAGAAAAACCGCCAAAAAAACAGCAGAAACTGCTGAAGAACGGGACGCGCATTGCGCATATGACCGCAAACGAAAACGGCTAAAGTTAGCAACTGAAACTGACCAACAGCGTGAAAGGCGTCTAGAAAATAATTGTTTACGTAAAAGAGTGATTCAAGCAGAATAGCAGCAATATCAAGTCATAGAGCTGCAGTAAGATCGAGCCATAAAGCCACAGCAAAACCAAGCCATAGTACCGCAGCAAGTTCGAGACAAAGGTCAGAGTGGAGAAAATACACACGAGCCATCTTCAGCTTCTGTCCTCAGTAAATCTGAAAAAAACAATTTGCGAAAATTTCGTGATAAAATAGATAAATTAAAACATTCTCTTTGTCCTATATGTAATGAGAGATTTCTGTCTATAGTGATTGTACAAGGCAAATGTCATCGTTGCTATAGCGAGAAGAGCTTATCAGGAAAATTCTCATTGGAAAATAACTTGGATCCAGGAGAAGTGCCTGAAGAGCTTCAAGGACTTATGGAAATCGAAGAAATGCTGATTGCACAAGTCTTTCCCATAATGTTAATTTATAGACTTCGCGAAAGACAGCATGGATATTATGAAAACGTAATAAACTTTCCCCAAGACGTAGAAGAATTCACCACTCATCTTCCTTGAAATCCATCATTATTAGATGTACTTATTGTACGTCGCCAATCAGCAAATAACTCAGGATTTAGGGATTTTAGAGTCCATTGTGCTAAGGTTGCTCGTGCATTGTATTGGTTGAAAATAAATAATCATTACTACAAAGATATTACAATCGATAATGAAATTCTTCAATCCTTACCTGATGATAGTTCCATTGATGATCAATTTCAGAATACTCAAATGGATGCTGAAGGTTTAGATCGTGAAGAAAACAGTGACAATGTGATCACAAGCAGCTTTATTCCATTTCTTCTTTCAGCTCATCGCGAAGAAGTTGCTATTCAAAATACTCTTGACCATGTGCAAAATGAAAACAATCCTATAGAATAGCCACAGATAAACAATCATCCTGTCAATGAATTTCAAACACTAGGCTATATTGCATATATGTTTCCAGCCTTATATCTAACTGGAAGTGTAAACCTCCGTGCAGAGTGTATTAGAGACATAAAGCCTGCAGAATATTTTAAGCATCTTCTTCAATATAAAGATAGGAGATTTACGTAGCATACTCGTTGGCAGTATTTTGCTTTGAATTCCCAAATGCGTTGACAGGCACTGCAAGAAGGAAAAATATATGTTAGACAAAACCTTACTGATGCTCAAATTATTGTTACGGATATTCAGGAAAGAATTATCCAAGGTGATAGCCATATTGCTGATAAAATCATGCGATTTGGTGAGGGTCTATACAGTTCTTAACAATTTTGAAATGCACAGCGTTGGAAATTATCAGATATGATTAAGCAGATAGGTTCACAAGGTTTGGTATTTTTTACATTTAATGCTATCAACTTGCACTGGCCTGAACTTCATAATCTTATGCTATCTAATAGAAATTTCACAAAAGGAGAAACTGTAGCTAAATGCAACCACCAAAATATTATCGATAATTCTCACATTGCAGTTTGGTTTTTCAGTAAGCGATTTGAGATTTTTTTTAATGATGTTCTAAAACGTGAATGGGATTTAGAAGATTGGTGGTATAGATTCAAGTGGCACATCGAGATAGTGTTTATGTGCATGGAATAGGAAAAAGACGAAATGCACCTAAAATAAAATGAAGCTGAATAAAAGAAAATAAGAACGTTATGAACGAGGTAGTACAATATCTTGATTCACTCGTCATCACGATAAATCTGAGGCTTAATGCACCCTTCCTGACTAGCATTCGTGTCAAAAAGTAAAGATGAACAATGCGATGATTAGCAAGATTACATTGATCTTATCAATAAACTGCAATAACACATGCGTTGCAGTCTTTCGTATTGTCTTCGTGTTAAAAATGGTAAACAAACTTGTAGATTCTGATACCCAAAGGAGAATGTTGAAAGTACCTTTATGCATGATGATGGTCGTGGTCAGCCAGAGCTTGTAATAGCAAGAAACGATCTATTAGTCAACCTATACAGCCAACTTTAATTACAGGATTAGCGAGCGAATATTGACCTGAAACTAATTCTCAGCATATATGCAGCTTTGCAGTATATTTTAAAATACGCAAGTAAAGCAGAACCTCAATTTGCAGCTTTTTTAGAAATACTCGATCGAATCCTTAGTGAAAGTAACCCTAATGAACCTATACTTAGCTCAGTCCAGAAGTTGCTATTCCATAGCGTTACAGGGCGTAATATTTCTGCTCAAGAAACTTGCCATCTTCTCCTTGGCATTCCATTGTACCATTCAAGTAGGATATCAGTACACTTAAACCTTAATAAAGAAACACCAAGGTGGATTCG